GTCCTGGCATTCTTGTCTGCATCTGGTTCTCTTCAGCAGCTTGATCAGCTTGCTTCTGACGGGGCACATTTTCTCCTCACTGGACCTAACGTGAAAGGCAGAAGCGCCAGCCACCTGCTCTCATATTCTTCTTTTTTTTATTACAATGCTACTACGTCATGACTTCGTCCTCCAAGACACGTTGTACAGTATCTCTTTCTGAAGTCGAAGACGGTGATGATCTTTTTACCTCAAAATAATCATTGTGTTGTGAGAGTGACGTTTGTGTTCGAGAACATTCCTAGTGCGTGAATACGAGTCGAGCCCTCCCTGACGAGGGGGGAAAGTAGTCCAGTTCTGAGGTTGATGAACTGTTTCTTTTTTTTTGTGGAGTCTTTTTCAAGGTGGTACTCTGAAGATCGTTAGTTTGAACTAGATCTTCAATATGCGCTTTGATATGAACATTTTGTTATGTCCAATTCTAAGCCCGCACTGGAGATGTATGTGTGTTAGGACAATGAAAAGAATGGATAGAGTGATAGAAATAGACACACAAATGTTTTTAAATTGTTCAAATGATTAATAATATCATAATTGTGTCAAATTATAAAGTGAAGAAAATGGCATTTCGCCTTTGCGGTAATTCTCATAATCTCATGCCGTGGCCCATCTTTGTGCGTGCACCAGATCACTCGCTCTGTTAGTGAAACGGGTTTGTTTGTTCTTGTAGACAGAGAAAGAGAGAAAGTGAGAAATGATAACGTATGAGTGTGTGTACGTGTCTGTGTGTGCGCGCTTGTGCGTATGGGTGTGCATGTTTGTTCGTTTTTTGGGGTTTTTTTCTTCTTTTTTTTTAGTTGTATTGATACGCGGGTGTTATATTGCATTTATTATGTCTTTTGTTTTAAGTTTGTGCAATGGCAAAATAAAAGGATTTTGCAAGAATTGTCAAACGTAATAAAAGTTATGCGCATACAGGATACTACAGGGCCCTACAATCATGCAATGCTTTTGACGAGGGGAAGGAAATTGGACCGACATTATGAACAGGCCCACAAAAAGTGTAAGAATTATTTTACCCGTTTCAGAGTGTCACCATGATATAACATGTGATTGTTTACATGATTGAGGCACTCGTAATTCCCCCACAATCTAGACATAAAACTCTGAGTCTAGTCAAAAGTCCTGTATGTCTTTGTTTCTATAAAAATCCTATATATTTTCGTGATTGATTACTAACTTGACCACATAAGAAGCACTAGGTTCAAATATGAAAAGTATTGACTATTTTGCACCTGGACCCATGAGTCCACTTCGACTAATTTTCAGAGAGGAGGGCACTGAATCCTGTGTCTTCGACTACCTGGGGCTCAGAGCCCTTTTGACTTACACAAACAAAATGCTCTCTGTTATATATATATTTATATATATATATATATATATATATATATATATATATATATATATATATATATATATATATATATATATAATATATACGTTATATATATATGTATATGTATATGTATCTCTCTCTCTCTCTCTCTCTCTCTCTCTCTCTCTCTCGCTCTCTCTCTCTCTCGCTCTCTGTCTTTCTTTCACTAGTGTCAAGTTTTAACACTCAAACTCTCAAAACCTAAAGCCAGGTGAATTTGATTCCACTCCGTTCTATCCTTGATGGCTTTTCTAGTGAGTAAAGGATTTACTTCATCGTCAGTGAGTTTTCTGATGAATGATTTCTTGGCATTTAGCACATTGTTACCCATGGCTGTAAATATTTTGCTAACTTCGTTATGTTAAATAGTTAAGTATCCTGTTTGAACATATTTTCTTCGCCATTTTCCTTTTTTGTTGCTGTTCTTCATACAAAATTCCTTGCAGATGCGGGTATGTGAATGCAATATGTAGATACACGAATCTGTATAAAGTGGATCTCGACCGCGTGATGCTCCCTGGAGCGTGAGAAGCACCTGCACCTATAGCCCAAATTGAATGTTTGCCTTCTTGGAATAGATCTGTGTGCTCAAGAAAAAATACACTAGACAGGTCAAAGCTTTTAACTTGTTGTACTTGGCACATTCTTACAGAGTTAAAAACTATTTGTGAATCACGAGGGAAATTCAGTTCTACTTTTTATTTTTTAACTTTAAAATTCAGGAATGCCTTTCAGAAGTAGGTTTCGTCAAACAGGACTTGTAAAAAGAAGAGCTTTATACATAACCAGCATAGTACAACAAAGGGTGTACATCTGCAACTGTTACATTTTAACCTTTTGCTTACTATTCTAGGGTAAGTGGATTTTTTTCAAACTGTCCGACATTCAGACTGAGAGTTGTTCTTTTGAAATATAAACTCCGAGACAGCACGTCACATAATATTTTGTAAATTTGTGGTCACTAGCGACAGAACAATACTTTATATTTGGAATGTTTGGAGGACACCATTTGTAAAGTTTGTGCAAGATAATTCACGATTTACAAAGCTCTCTAGAAGCTATTCTGCAATTAAAGTACAGGTTCTGAAAATACGGGCCTAAATTTATAAAATATATTATTATAAGTAAGAGACGTTGTTAGCCTTGAAAAATGGAACAATGTAGACCGTTTTACAAGACCCATTTATACAAAGTCTCTTCTCTTTTCAGGCGTGGTTTACCTAGAAGAGCCTCTTATGATTTTGTCTCTGAGCAAACAGGTTACATTTTGAAGTAGCCTACATACCATAAGGCAGAACTTATTTTCGTTTAAAGTATATCGTATAGACACTACATTATTGATGGTCATTTGTACGCGTGCAGCCTTATTTTCAGTAAAACTGTTGATGTGTTGATGTGCACTCATTTAAGAAATCTTAATGACGTTGCCCCCTTCCACAAATAAAAAACGCCACTGAAAGCATTACAGACATCGAAAGTGTCCATGTTAAAAGGTTAAACACACGAACAGGGCTCCCCGCTCCCCCCCCCCCCCCCATCCCCCTCCCAACTCACGCATACACATAATTATGTCATATATTTTGTTCTTTAGTATACCGGTGTTACCTTCTCAACGTTAGATATTCCCAGGTCAATATATAAATATATTATTATTAGGCCTACTTTTGCAACGCCTCAAAGTTGAAGGGAATGTTATGTTAGAGAAAATAAGTGCTGACCAGTAAGAAGTGAAAGAAGCGCATTAGGGTTTTAAAAAATGACTAAAAGCAAACCCGTCTGCTCTTGACCATTTTCCTGATTTGACGCTTTCCTCATTTTATCATGATGTAAAGTCACTCGTTATATCGTTATTAAACATTATTATATGTCACCGGCTATCTATACCCACCTTCGAACTGTTGTGCAGTGAAGAATATTATGTGTTTGTCTACTTCGTAAAAGGGCCAGGGCTTTTCTTGGGTATAATTAAATTTAGACCCCTATTCTTAAATAATTTAAAGTGTATTTTTACTGTGACATCCTTTTGACCCAATTATAGCCCCTCTGGGAGTCAAAACTTTGGATGTGTCCGTAGTAGGTCGAGTAAGTCTCGAATAGAGGGCTAAAGGTATTGTTAACTATCTATAAGGCCGAGCTTTCGGGGTATATCTTATTTCTGCTTTCGCGACTAGGCCTAGATCTATATGCCCACCTTCCAACTGTTGTACATTGAAAAAGAGCTGATTTGACTATAACTCTAATGAAGAAGTGCCACAGCTTCCCTTTTCCCTTTGATGACGTCAATTCCGCTGTTTTTAAAAAATGTTCCTTCTGGCCTAGTTGTGACCTCAGAAAGTCTCTCCCCCCCCCCTTTCCCCCTTTTTTACCGTTTATTTTCCTCACGAAGTAGTGGTACTTTCAAATAATTCATATTTAAATAAGGGACACATTCCTAAACAAATAGTGTAAGTATAAGAAAAAGATGTAGCCACGATGCTAACGGTTGTTTGATACCGGTGTGTTTGTTTAGGGAAGGAAGAATATGAAGTAGAATTCAGTTTTGAAAATTAAGGAGGAATATAACAGGCTCAAAGTAGAGTAAAAGCATCTAATGCATCCTAAACTTGAAAACAACGCTAAAGACCTTTTTTTGTTAGATTTTCTATTCCTTTCTTATGTGTCAACAGAGACTGATAATACGATTATACTCTAGCGTAGCACAGATTAAGTGGAATTTAATCATATTGCCCTTTTAGGTTGCATCGGACAAGACACTGGTAGAACTGTGATTTATTATCATTATCAGTCCACTGTTGTTCGTGCATTACGTCGGTAGTCAGCTTTGTAAATAGCTACTTTTGTACATAATATTCTTTCTCGTTGTTGTGTCTAGTGTACACATGTTCCTAGCTCGTGTCTCATTCTGGTATTTTAAAGCCTTTCTCTGCTCTTATGACTCGACCATTATCATTGTGTGTCATTGAGGTCCTGGATGTACATAATCGTGAATAGGTATTCAAATTTAATGGTGTATTGTTGGTATGAGTGCATGAATACTTACTTTTCTAAGTGTTTATTGTTGAATTAAGTTCGTGTCTGTTTAATAAAAGTTATATCCTTGAATCGTATCGAAAAGTATGGCAGAGTATTGAGTAAGACTGGAACACAGATAGATAGAGAGACAAAGAGAGAGAGAGAGAGAGAGAGAGAGAGAGAGAGAGAGAGAGAGAAAGAGAGAGAGAAAGAGGGAGAAACAGACTGAGAGAAGGAGAGAGAGTGAGAGAGAGAAAGAGAGAGAGACAGAGAGGCTGATACAATATTGTGTTGGAAGACAGAGCGACTTGAAAGGGTAAGTGGAAAAATAATATGAAAGCCAGTTCTAAATGAAAGGATTTTACGGATGGGTAGGTGACAGGGCCAAGTGAATTTGTTCATACTTCATGACCCGCTACCATTTCATAATTGATAAACGTCATATTGTGTTTGTAATTTATTGATTTATCGGTATATTTAAGTCTCTGTCTATGAAACATTTCCATATCTCCACTGTCTCAACGTTCATGTTATTGCTTAATTACTTAAGGATCCCAAATTCGTAGCCTTTCTTCAGATAATTATTTTGCTTTTGTTGAAGAAAAGTAAAATTTCCGTGTTTGGCTCTGTACTGTGTTCAGAGTGTGCTAGAATTGTTGTGTGTTTCCAGAGCAGAAAAACGTGCGCACGATTGTCCCACTAATATCTAAATATGAAAAATATAGCTGTATATCAAATTCCCACCTCATTTTGTCCCTTTCATCAGCTTATTTTGCACGATCATTAATTATCCCAAGGGAGGCACACAGCACTTTTTAACAAAGATATTATTACGAACAGTAGGCTCCCTTATGAAATTTCTAGGTCAGCTCACACTTAGTGGTATCCATATCACACATCCAATCGTACAAAAAAAATACATTTAGTCATTTAGCATTGAGAATTGTGCCTTTTTGAAGACAGAAAGATCTCATAAGGTAATTAACATGGAGGGCGTGGAGTCTTAGTACTTGGAAAAAATAAATTCGTATCTTATGACTGATGATATCAACAGAGTCTTCAAGCCTTAATGTTCCCTAAATTCTACTCGACCATGAGCTCTATCTTTAGGTATGATCTGCGAATAGAGAGCTGCTGGAGAAAGAGTATGTTTTTAACCTTAATAATATGAGGAGTTTGCATCAATTTCGACTTGAATAAGGACTTTAGGGGGAAGGGGGGTTGCGATATCTCGCTGTGTTCCTCAGTTCAATCTCCAGTTGACATATATTAGCCAGTACTTGAGTTAGATTGTCTTTTATTATCACCAGTTTAAATTTTATAAGCCGGCACAGTTTGTTTTTTTAATTGCAGACAAAGTAAAAGAAAAGAAAAGGAAAGACCCAAAAGACATAGTACGCCTAAAATGGAACCACGACTTACATCACGAAGCCTAATAAAACCTGAAAATATTTACGTTCTGCGTTGGTTATAAGCCTGTAACAAACGTTCATAAGGAAAGTCAGAATACTTTGTGATGCTTTCAAGATCTTTTTTCATGTTTTTCTTCTTCCTTTCTACAAAGTCTGGCGTAACTGTCCGTAATAGTACATACTAATGTGTAACTTTTCTATTTTTGTATATCTCTCAAGTGCATGCCTTTAGGTAAGAATTCAACACTGCACTTGTTCGCCTTTCATCTCTAAAGAATTCTTGACATACAGGAATGGTGTCAGTGGAATTTTGTTGTACCTTGTAATCCATTTCGGCATTAAAACATGTACATTAAACTTTACCATTTATGTTTTCCAGTCATAAGAATAAATCATACGATAAAAATGTTCATGGTTTGGTTTTCTTCCAAGATTTCTCTGTGTGTGTGTGTGTGTGTGTGTGTGTGTGTGTGTGTGTGTGTGTGTGTGTACATGTGTGTTTTGCATGTATGTGTGTTTGTGTGTGTGTTTGTGTACATATGCACGTGTGAATTTACATGTATGTGTGAATGTGTTTGTGTGTGTGTGCGCGAGAGAGAGAGACAGACTGAGGAGAGAGAGAGAGAGAGAGAGAGAGAGAGAGAGAGAGAGAGAGAGAGAGAGAGAGAGAGAGAGAGAGAGAGAGAGAGATCATGTTTCGATAGATGGACAGAAAGAGAGAGGTTGAGAGAGAGGGGGGGGGGTGGTTGTGAGAAAAAACGATAGAGAGAAGAGTGGGAATGCGGGACAAAGAGAAAAAAAGAGAGGAAAACAACAGAAAGAGGGGGCAAATTGGAGACCTACCAATTGTTCATCAGGAAAAGGTCAAAAGAATGCCAACCCATCCAATGAAGGATAGATCTTCAAAAAGCCAGAGCAAATGCTTAAAAAGAACAAGCTTCCTCCATATGGCCAGACACTCCAGCTCTGGACTCGAAATCTCTCTAGGAGAATCTCCAACCCCGTTAGACCCGTGTCAAGTCCACCCCCTTCAGACTAATCACCCCCCCCCCTCAAATTCGAGAGAACCTAGAAAAGCTTGGCACCAAATCTGAAGTCCCTCCTCCAATACTCAATTCACAGACGCGCGACTACCTGGACAAAAACTCCCCAAGCAACCGGTGGAATCGAGTTTACACAGATGGATCAGCAACTGATGCAGTCAGAAACGGCGGTGGAGGTATCTACATAGAGTGGATAGATGGGACAACAGAAAGCCATTCCATCCCCACAGGATCTCTTTCTTCCAATTACAAAGCAGAAACATCAGCACTCGAAACAGCAGCCACCATTCTCTTGAATCACCAAAAATCTAAAGCCAACACCGTCATCCTCACAGATGCCAAATCTGTCCTACAAGCTCTCCAAAAGCCACAAACAGCTCAAGTACGACAACTCCTTTCACTCTTATGTGAGCTAAACTCCTAAGCCAACACAACTCTGCAGTGGATACCAGGTCACTGTGGCATTCATGGAAATGAAAAAGCAGATGACTTAGCCAAAGAAGGAGCCAAATTGGCTCAGATTGAAGATGGCATGGATCTCTCAGAGTCAAAAACACTAATAAAAACTGCTTTAAGAAACAGATGGAAAAGGTTCCACCCTAAGCACAACAGACATGACCCCTACTACATACTAAATAGAGCGGACCAGGTCACAATCTTTAGACTCCGTTGTGGCCACAGCAGACTCAAACACCATATGCACACCAAATTAAAAGTGGAAGAGTCAGCGATCTGTGAATGTGGACACGACCAAGAGGATGCCAAACATATCTTTCAGCACTGCCGGCGCTACGCCACCCTTCATACAGAGACGTGGCAGAATGTGGCTCCCCTTGAGAGAAAGCTCTATGGCAGTCTCTTAGAGTTGAAGCGAACTGCACAATCTGTGGGCGACTTTGGAGTGACTGTCTAGCTGCTGTCATCGAGAACGAGGAAGAAGAAGAAGAAGGAGACCTACCGGAGTGGGCCCAATAATAAATCTCTCAAACGCAATGTTGACGTAGTGAGAAATAGGACTTGCCTAATTTAAGAAATAACTCCTGATTTAGAAAGTTCGTACTACTTCTAGTCAAAGGTACTTAATCGTAGTTAAACTATACAACACAAATGCATCGTAAAACGTGTACTTATAATAAAATAATAATACGAAACCCCAGAAAAAGCTTAACAATGCGTGGCGAAAAAAAAGAGACATTGATGCAAGGGAAACAATCAGTAGATTTATCAAAACATCAAGGCGAGAAACGTTATCTCCCCTGAAGGGATTACCCCTCCCGTGGATAATGAGTCTCGTTTTTTTCTGGTAGTTTGGGTTTGTGCTGCTTTTTTAATCACGAAGTATTTCATTAAAATACTTTCCTTGCTTTTGGATAATCATGTGAGGAACCATTACACTAAAGTATTCGAAAGTTATTCAAAGCTGCAGACAGACAGACAGACAGACAGACAGACAGACAGACAGACAGACAGACAGACAGACAGACAGACAGACAGACAGACTGACTGACAAACAGACAGACAAACAGACATAGAGACAGGCAGACAGGCAGGCAGGCAGGCAGACAGGCAGACAAACAGACAGATAGATAGATCGGCAAGCAGGCAGACAAACACAGATAGACGAGCATATACGGGAACAGAGACAGAGAGAAAGACAGAGGCAGATAAAGAGCCTAAAAAAGATGGGAGAGAGAGAGAGAGAGAGAGAGAGAGAGAGAGAGAGAGAGAGAGAGAGAGAGAGAGAGAGAGAATGATAGTTCAAATTCAGACCTCAAGACGTGAGGCTTCAAATCAACAGCTTTTATTTGCAATCCCACAAGTATAGCTAACTGTCCTAATGGTTTACTAATAAAAACATAGTTATTACCTTAAATGCACTAATTACCCCCCCCCCCCTTTTCCCCTTTCACTCCCAATTTCTCCACCCTTTCCTCATGCCCTATTTCCTTCTCTTTAAGAGATGAATGAAAATGAAATGTGCTAAAGCAAAGGAGTGAATAAAAAAACCACAAACAGAACGTAAAACAGACGATTTAAAAAATTTATTCAAAAGTCCAAATCTGCTTTCCAGTGATCTGGAAACGATTTATCTCAGCGTTCGTTATTTTGAATCTGATTTAATATTTTCTTATTCGCATTATTCACTCATTCTTTTGATTATCTAATAATGGCAATGCAGTGTATAGAATACAAATACAGAAAACAAAAAAATTGAAAGAAAGTATTAAGTTTGAAAAAAGAACACTTACAAAAGTCAAATTGTGTTAAAACTGATACGTGTACAGACTAAAGTGTTCAATAAAATACAAATAAATGTACGATCTACCAAGATTGAATAAACCAGGAGATGAAATTTGAAAACAATCTAGTCAAGACACAATGATTTAACTGAATATTGAATGGAAAGCCACCAAAAATCTTAACAAAAGTAACACGAACTCAAAAGGTTTTAACATAGGAAATTTAAATGGCGGGCTAACCAATATCAGTTACAATTAATTTTCCAGGCATAATTTTAGATCACATCTATTTTTGGGGGTTTAAACAGAGGTGAGCCCAAATCTATTTCCAATTCTCTACCGCAGTGCCCCATTTCCAACATTGGAATGACATGTATTAAACAGAGTTTGATTCTTCTTTAAAAAGGAATGGTTTATTAGGAAGAAAAGAGTATTTGTCGAGAAGTAATGGAAAACGCTGTAGTTACATTAACCGCTTTTCTGAAGCAAACTGTCAGTTTCTATTTCCTTACTTGTCCAGAGTATATGAAAAGGATCAAAAGTTAATTTTCATCACAGATGTTACCTCAAATTATGGGCACTTAACAGTCATGGTAAATTAAAACTGAACTTTTCCCCCTTTCTTTGATAGTCAAGAGAACATGTAGATTCCAAAATCAGAAGCTTCTTTATAATTTCCCTCTGGGATTGAGATTACTTCAAATGTAAACAAGTTGGTTACCCCACCAGTAAGACAAGAGTTCAGACATTAATTAAAACGAAAACGTGCACAGAGACGAGCCTACGATAAGAAACCGAATCATCAAATGACATTAATCTATTATCAAAAAAATAAATTTAATGAAAACAATTCCAAGAAAATAAAAAGAACCCTATTAAAATAAAACAACAGTTAGAAACAGTGTGAGGGGAGACTTGTGAGAGAAGGAGGGGGAGAGAGAGAGAGAGAGAGAGGGAGAAAGGTGAAGATAATGGGAGGGGTGTAGAGACGACGTGAGCTTGAATAAGTTTTTTAAAACAAAATAAGTTCTTCTTTGTCGAAGAATTATTCTTGCAAGGTATATTATTATGAAACGAACACAAACAGGTCGGTTCTACTTTGTCAAAGTCAAAGCCAAAGTAGCGTACCGCACAGTCAGAAAGGACTTTGTGGTTGCATCTCCACAACTGCCCCTTCCCCCCCCCCCCCCAGCCCCCGGCAACCTTTCTTCCTATCCCGCCCTCCCGGGCTACCCTTATTCCTGTAAAAGTTGCTAGTTATCTTGTTTTAGAAGGTAGCATTGTGTATTTTGGCAGACTCAAGTACAGCTGCAGACTCCGATGATGTGAGAGGCATAGCAGCGCTAACTGTGATCCAGCTGACGTGATCACTCTGTGAATAGATAGATAGATAGATAGATAGATAGATAGATAGATAGATAGATAGATAGATAAATAGAGATAGATAGATAAAGAGAAGAGATAGAGAGAAAGAGAAGAGAGAGAGAGAGAGAGAGAGAGAGAGAGAGAGAGAGAGAGAGAGAGAGAGAGAGAGAGAGAAAGGGAGAGAAAGAGAAATAGAGAGAGAGAGAGATAAGATGATATTAAAACACTACTTGCTTTTGCTTTTGTCTTCATAGGGGACAGAGACGAGTTGGAGTGGGAAGTAATCTCTGATAACGAAATGAGCTTGTGAAGCCTTACAAATATTATGTATGTGCGCAGACTGATGGTTTCTCTGTGCTTATTTAGAGGATGAACATAAATTATCGTAGCACAACCTGCACCGTTCGCTTACCAGGTAGAATCACATGGGGAATAAAAGGGTAGAACTAACAACAATTCTATTTTCCACAAAGCATAATAATGTGAAGAAAGCCGGAGTTTTTTTGCGATTAAAAAATGGCTATTTGTCTATTTGTAATAATATTATAAAACTGCTCTGTCCGAGTTGATAAATGCTAATTATTTAGACATTCTGATACGGGAATTGCTGATTTATACTATCATTATTGGCTATAAAGCAATTACAGTGTTCTGCACAGACTAGGAAAAAATTCTAAACGCCGCTGGGCGGTGAAAAGACTCGAACAAGCCAAAATCTCCTCATTTGCATACTTGCAGTCGTGCGACGAGTAGAAAATGTCCTATTGTACCAAAGAGGTTATACATAATACTAGAGCTCGCAAAAATGACGTCACACGTGTCAGACATGGAGGCATTTTTACCCTCATCGGCATGGTCAGCGTACCCCCATTTATATGAACAACCTGGGCCCCAACCCCACTCCTCTCGAGCTCTAGTAGTATATTAAACACCACCCTGTCTTCATATTCCAGAGCAAGCTTGTAGATTTCCTCCTAAGACCGCCAAGACGCTTCCACGTGACTCTCGAAAAGTACTCACCAGTCTGTTGAACTGCGCGTCTTACTCTTGAGATCCAGCGTCCCCGAGTGGGAACACGCCGGCTCCGTCGTTTACGTGGGGTCTATACGTTCTTATACTATCTCTGACCGTCTAGTGTGGGGTACGTCACTGCCACGAACTCTAGTACTAAATGATATAGCCTCTTTGTTTTGTGCTCAGAGCCCAAGTGTCATAAGTATGACACGAGGAGTGGGACGCACCTGCTTGAATCTATTCTCAAAGCCGTTTTGGTACTTGTAATGAAAGTTCCAGATCTCTGCCTCTTGCCAGGCGTTGTCCGTGTTGACAGCAGAGTCGACATACCCTCGAAACACCAGGAAGGAGGAGAAACCGTAGTTGGCGTACAGGGCCTTGCGTTTTCGGATGGGGTTTGTGGAGGCAAACTGGCTAAAATACTGGTGGGTATCAAAGATAAACTCGCTATAACAATGCTGTATATATCTTACGTATACATCACTTTGCATTAAATACACACACATGACACACACACGCACGCGCGCGAACACAAACACACACACACAGACACACACACACATACACACACACACACACACACACACACACACACACACACACACACAAGGTTTGATAGTGAAACGGAGAAGAACTGAGTTCTCTTATATTATTGTTTAAAATTCAGCAGAAAACCCACATAGAAAATAAAACGGAAAACAGTACTTTTATTATAAATGTTTATTATATTTTATATTATAATATATGAGAGTATGAGCCGGGCACAAATGCTTACGTTAAAAAGAAAAAGGATGAAAGAGCAAAATGTCGGGGGGAAAAGAGGGACAGAAAGAAAGACAGTCAGACAGACACACAGACAAAGATATAGAGAGACAGAGATAGAGAGAGAGAGAGAAAGAGAGAGAGAGGAGAGAGAGAGAGAGAGAGAGAGGGGGGGAGATAGAGAGAGAGAGGGAGAGAGAGAGAGAGAGAGAGAGAGAGAGAGAGAGAGAGAGAGAGAGAGAGAGAGAGAAAGATGGGAAGGGAGGAGGTAAAATCATTATAATCAAATTATTAATATTATTTTCTTTCTCCCAATCTATTTTGTTTTCGTTTTTGTATGGTTTTAAGGGGGGGGGGGGGGGATTGCTTTTGTTTTGTTTTGTTTTTTGCTTTTTTGTTTTGATTTGGGTTTTTTACTAGCAGTTACCTGCACCATGTCGTCCTGATCGTAATGACGCCATCCCTCTGTATCTTCTTCCTGAAGAACGTCTGTGGTGAAAACATCACACAGAGCGCTGTACGGGCGGGATCTCTTATCCAGTTTAGCCTGGTAGTGGCAGAAATAGTGCATTTTTTAAAGCTATTTGGTTCGGGTGTTCTTCCCTTCCTGGTTTCAATTACCTTTAGGGACGTCCTTTTTTTTGGGGGGGGGGGGGGGGGGTTGAGGAAGACCTATCAAGACAATGATTTATTTTATTATATTTTATTTCATTTATATCATTTTGTATTTTAGTGCATTCAGGCAGAGAAATGAGAGGCAAACCACGATTTATCACTTAGAGAAGAAGGGTATGTATTGCAATTGACTGCGTTGAATACCTTGCTATTATTGTCGTTCAAGTATGTGAATAGTCAATTAGGCCAATGCTAGCCGTAGTGCGATGTCACAGCCATTGTTGGAAGAAAGGATCGCTGAGAAAATATAAAATTAATGTCTGCACCAAGCCCTCAGGATTTTTGGAGAATGGGAGGTAATCATGAGAATGTTTTCAAAGTAAACAGTTGAAACAGTTATGTGCCTTACAGAGTACACCATCTTGGTCACAGAACTTCAATGAAATGTTATAACATTTACGAAATTAACGCATGTTGTGTTTTTTAGAGCTGTTTCAAACAACACCTCTTTCATATGGGTTCCGTTGTGAAAAGAAAATCCGGCTCAAACAAAATGCATTAACCTGTGTTTGGTTAGTAGTTCAGTTATGTTTCCCATTGACTGATTATAGCTGTACACTTAAATAGTTTACAAGTGGAGTGCAAGTCTTAGTGTAGTGAGAATACGTTTGGAAATCGTAAACAATATCGCAAACAATCGTAAACACTGATTTAAAAATATTTTTTTTACAGTTGTTGTTGTTATCCCTTGCCCTTTCTTATGAGATTAACGCCATCTGATTAGTAGAATAAGGATCGTGTAATAGTGTCCAATAGAGTATTAATGTGCATAATTATTGTAACATATAACTTTTACAAATACAGATTCAAGGAAAATAAATATATGTCAAGGATCTGAGAACAATAGACAATACATTATACCCTGTAATTGAAATGGAAAGATGCCATGATTGTACCTATTAAGTAGCCGTGTTATTTAGTACCCAACATTTACTTGCGCTTTAGTTGTGCCTGAAATACTTTGTACTCTGTACGAGAAAACAAAACCATCCGTAATTACATCACAAAGTAATTCTATAGTCACTATCAAAATTGCTCATAGACGAGGTGCACTATTTAAACGCTTGCCCTCAAAATGAAAGTATACTCAATTCAGTTCAGATCGCGTTGTGCATAATCCAAACATTAGGTGGAAAGCAAGCCAAGGACGATCCTTCTCTCAGATTAATCGTAAAACAAATACGCATCCACACGACGTGACAGCACTCTTTTCCTAGAGCTTAAGTTACATACAAAACTCCCCGTATAAAAGAAAACATGTAACACCTGTAGAAATTACCTGTGGTGTCTAAGATTGTGTGAATTCGTGAATGTTGTGACTTTCCAATGTTAAAATCAATATTATTGTGTATGATCATTATGTTTAAATGTTCATAGAGGAACTCAGATAAAAATTTGCACCAAAAAACAAAAAAAAGTTTTCTTTCTTTCTTTTAATCTAATTCGATTGTCCTAGGAATATAGGATACCTCTAGGGTCGAAAGAAATCTACCCACCGCACCCAAACAGGAATTAAAACTTCGTCAAGGATGAAAAACACATCCAAATTATGACATTATGTCTATGCCTTCTGATTTCCTTTTCCCCTCTTCCTGAACTCTATCAAATGACCAAGAAATTGACCTTCAGAATGTTTTGACCATCTGGAAGGTCGTTATACTCCTATGATAACGAAACAATTATTAGTCAACGCGTTGTGGTTACTAATGCCCACAATATCTGATCTCTTTATTGTTTGCTTCTTTTTCCTTTTTACTGTAATATCTAGCCCCTTCTCTCAGGCTTAAAAAATATCTAATTTTGTCCAGTAAGGCAATCAGTCTGAACGCTTATCTAAGAAAAGAAGGAAGCCCACCCCTGGCAGACTGATATGCCCAGGATCATCTTGCTCGTGCACCACCAGGACCTCCATGACCTTGGACTCTTCAACTGGGGAAGTCACATTGCTGCCTTGAGCGCTGGTGCTGGCGACTTTCCACCGACTGATCACTGCCTGGATCATGTGGTTAGGGCCCCATCGACACAGCGAGCCTCGACCCCGTAATCCTGTGCGGCCTAGGGGATTACTGAAACGTAACAACAAATCACACGGCTAAGATGTAGAAAACTGAAATGTATACGAGCTTCGCAGTTAAATCAGGCGCCCGTCAAAATAATGAAATCGAAGAAACTAGCTTTTTTTTTACGCCGGTTTTGCAATTTAAATCGTTTTGGTTTTTTTGACTCAACACCATTTATGTCCATTTAAAAACACTTTTCTGTGCGGATTTTACAGAAAAGCCTTGATTAAAGAAACAATAAAACGTAAGTTTGCCGTTTCCAAGGACTCTCATGCTATGGAAACCCCAATCTTTGGCGGCGATTTTCTCAATATTTTTACCCCTGATACCAGGCAACTGTCCCCTCTTTGAATCGCAAATGATCTCTACTTCTATTCAGATTAGATGGGTATTTTTTCTTTGAAAATAAGAAAATTGAGCAAGCTTTAAGACGATACCAGTAACTCGCATGTACCCCCAAACAGACGAGCACTTGATTCCACCGTGTCGTGGCACATATTTCTATAGCGTGTCAGTTTCCTTCGAAGAGCAATCGTTAAGCTGGGGTTTTTTTTTACATATTATTTTGTAATTATGTCTGGCGAGATGGTGCAATGAAGATCACTTTTTCACCTCGTAGAAATTGAGATGCTAGTAGCCCTAGAGAGAAAGAAATGGAGCTAACCACACTGGGTTCTTGTAGATGCTTGAAGCGTCTAAGTAAACTCTGGAATCAGGCAATTTTAAAGCCAAACAGAAGACATTGTGAGAAGAAAACGTTCCACGGTAGAACGAAAAAGAAAGGGAAACGGTTATGCCCACTGAAAAAAGTGCAGTTTTTGTCTTTTTTTCTTTTGATATCGAACCATAGGAAACAATGCTGCATGAAATGATAAAATGTACTACACTTGAGAAAATAACAATGTGACCAATCAGCTTTCATATTCCTTCAAACCATCCCTTGAGTTGTTTTTTTTTAAACCAACTGTTTTCGTATTCAGCATTTGTGCTACCGATGCCAAGAAAGAACTATCTGTGCAGGTAAGTATGGCAGCTTTATAAGTTTCTGAATAAAAAGGGAGCTATTGACGACATGCAGTCATTGGTAAGCAAATATTTAACACTGTCTGTCACATTGTATAATATCGAATGCAACTCACTTTGAACATTACAGAATTCTTTTCTTGAAATCTGTACTACTCGGTCTCGCCCGAAACCACATTACTTTGCGCGTATTCTAACGAAATTATGAATATATACAACGAAGCAGTGTTGTTGAACACACACAGCCAGGGCAATGCCGTTAGTTTAAGCTACAAACGCTCTGGATGAATCAGAAATGTATTCTCATAAGACAGTTTCCCTGACCTTCCCCCTGGGTGTCCGTAAGTATATATGTAAATTGATATTGTAACCTTAGGTTTCCTGCAAGCATGACACATACTTGCTTTATATGGGTATACTCTGCCCAGATTTAAGTTAATCTCAGCAACGTGAGCGTATATCCCGGCTGCTGACGGAATAAAAAAGATAAACGTTGCTTTCAACAGAAAATAGTCTGTTTCAAGTATAGTGAGTAGCAGCAATACTGCGTTAAATTTGTCCTGTAAATCTCACGTTTACTTTCGGAAGCAGATTCCTCCTATTAGACTTAGTGCAACCTTAAAATTGTAAAGTTCTATCTGACGTTTTTGGTCGTTTTGAGTTGCTATGACCATGAGGACAAAAACCAAATTCTCTGCAACCAAAATCGTAAGGTCATTCGGAGTCGTTATCAAGATAATAAAATGATTGCACCAAAAAAACTTGACATGTTGTGAAACATTCAAATTTCTGAAAACTAGGTACTGAGCGGATAGTACTTTGTAATTCTAAGCAATGAAATATCTGACCGATAACTTACATTGGTAAGCCCACAGCATCCAGATCATAAATCAAGGGTTGTTCTCCGTCCATAATGTAGGAGACCCGATCAACGACCACTTCCCAGCCATCCACTGGGTTCTGTATTTGGACGCTGACGGAGAAATGAATGGGCTGAGGTGATTTTTTAAAAAAATGATATCAATATAATATTCCCGTAGCTTTGTTATCAAGACAGCTTTCCTGAATTGGTAAATTCATTCGTTTTCTAAATTATCAAAGATATTCACCCGTAGCGAGCTTTTATTTTTGGTTTATTCTTTGTCTCTTGTGTTCAACATACTTTTTATTGGCTTCGTTTGACGTTTCTTTATCTTTTCTACGTCTGTCTTCGATTACCTGTTGTAAACTGGGTCCTGAAGTATAGAGACCATCACAAACTCTTCATCTTTATCCGGATTGGATTCATTCCGCTCTGCAACGCTGAAAATAGTAAATAATATTTCTGAAAAGAAGAGTTACATTTTAAATACAGAACCTTTTAAATGTGACTTTGTGGGTAGAAGAAACAGCAAGCAGGCATTACATACATTAGGTTTCTTTTCAGACATCGCTTATTTGTTTACTTTTGACCTTGACACAGAGCTGAGCACACATTAAGTCTTTATGAATTCTAACCTGTATGAGAAAGAACTTTTAACCCTTCCAGCCCTAAGCGCGTATATTTTCAGCAGCGCGTGTACCTCCCTCCGTCCCAAGAGCGTATATTCTCAGTTTCGGGGGGGTGTTACCGAATTCGCGCATTTTTCGAAATTAGCGAACTTGGTTAAACTTTAATTTTCTTATTACTTGTTCAATTATCTTTAAAAATTGGTATATGTTATTATCAAAGCTACATTACAAAGATACTACATCACTTTTTAGAAATAATGTCTCTTTTTCTGAAATACTACTGTATTGGCTGGGACTGGGGTTAGGGAGTGCACAAAAATGGCTGGGGCTGGAAGGGTTAACCAATTAGCAAGACTAAAAACTAAAATGTATGACCGAAGACAAGAAAAGTTGTCGAAAATGTGGGGAATCATACTGCTGTAAGTGACTGTCCAGTTATTATAAACACGTTCTCCTTGCATAATATTAGAGGAAGATTTCTCGTACATTTGTTCAACTTACCTAAGAATGTCCCAGTCCACCCACGGTTGCATTTCGTCTGGATATTTTGTTACCGGTTTTGAGTATATGATCGGGTCGTACGCCTCAAATTTTGCCTGCCGAAGACAATGAATCGCATCCTCCTTACCAACTGCTTCAGGGAGAACAAAAACTGAGTATCCAAGTCACACTTTAACTAACTGTAAGATCTGCCCCCAGCCCCAGTCTCTTTTTATTGCAGAAACATCGTTTGACTACACTCAGTGTTTCAGTTTTACTCTTGGCCTAAATAACATTTTAACACTATCATTTTCCTCCCATGAATTTATTGTTTTGAGTGGTGATGCTTTAACGGCATAGACAGAATGAAACTGAATTTGAATATTTCAAATTTTAAATGAACCAGCAATAGGAGAGACTGAAATGTTACAATTGCTGTTATAACCCTTGTAAAAGTATGGATGAACACATACGCTGCTGAACCCCCACAGATACAGCATGTAATTGATGACTTTTTAGACAATCTACCCCGCTCTGCTTGAAAAATTGCTTTATTTCATCTATTTGTGACATATTTTTGGCTGAATTTAGAGTTAATATAAACCTGTAATATTTCTTAGTATCATACGCCTCTTTATTGACTACTACCTTATAACTGAGTCAATTTGAAAAAGTGGGGCTTATATGTTGTAAGGCGGGGAGCGGGGGCGGGGGTTGGTGTGTGTGAGTGTATGTGTGTGTGCGTGTGTGTATGTGTGTCTGTGCATGTTTGTTTGTGTGTGTGGGGGGGTAAGTGTGTACATGTCTGTGTGAGTGTGCACAGCAGTTCAACATCCTAATATTCACAAAAAGATAGTTTCAAAGCCATGACGTTTACTGACATCCCACGGGACATCCTTTTCGAAGACTGGAAACCGCTGCAAGTCTGTGCCCGGGTAGGGAGAAGTGCGGGCCACTGTGTGGATCACTTTCAGTGACCGCTGAGCTTTTTGGGCGCGAACTTTGGGGTCTGTGGGAACAGAAACAACGGATTAGCCTTATTGAGACATACCTTCGTGGAAAATTGGTGGACTTTCAGAGACTCAACTCATCTGTGCGGGGAAATGGCATCTCAGACGACCAAGGAGGAGGAGGAAGAGGAGGATGAGAAGGAGGATGAACAGTATGAACATTGTGCACAGACATCGAAAGTGACAAGGCAAGAAATATAATACTGAAACATTTTTTTAAAACAACAACAACCAAGCGTCCAACCACTAGCCTTCATAACCTAAGAAATGCTTCTACTAAGTAGTGTGCTCTGTTGGGTGGGGGGGGGGGGGGGGGCAAGTGTTGCAACTTTACTATCAAAGAGAAAAAGAGGTGACGCGGTTTGTAAATATCAACGTGAAAGAGTCTAATCTCTACCCTAGAATTACAAACGTCTATCTGCTCAGTACCTAGTTTTGAGACATTTTGGGTAACAATTTTGAGTTTCACATCATGTCAAGCTTTTTCGAATGTAATTCTTTCAATATCTTGGTAACGATTACGAATAATCCTACGATTTTGATAGAGCAGAGAGAACTTTTGGTTTCTGACCTCATGGTCTAAGTAGATTCTAACTCAAAAGCCCCCAAAACGCCAGATAGAACTTTGTAATTCTAAGGTAGCATAATACTCAATCCATCAACCTAGAGCTTCAAGCTCGGCCAGAAATGACTCTAGTGTGAGTCCAGCAGACGTCTGATTCTTCTCCACATGGACCAGGCGGTCGTTCAGACGTTTGGCGATCAGCTTCTGGGCTGTACTCTCTTCTTCCATCTGGGTCAATCTGAGAAAAATTGTTGTGATTTTTTATTGATGTTGTTATTGTTGTTGTTGTTTTGTTGTTATTGTTGGTGGTGGTGATGATGATGACGATGATTTGTTGTTTTTTGGGTTTTTTTGTTTCCTTAATGGGCCTAGTTGACTCCACGAAGAAATCTTCGAGCGAGAGCGAGTCTCTTTTTCGGCTCCATTTTCAAAATACTTGGAGGCACCTCCACTCGTCCAAACAACTCCATTCGAATTGCTATTGCTCTTTAACATTCAAACATATGGTTGACATCCTCCTTTTCATGGCCGCATCTTCGGCAACGTGGACTGAGCTCTTCATTTACAAATTTCTTATACTATATCAAGCTCTAATGATGGTTCGACCGCAGTCTCGCAAGCTCAACCTGGTCCCAGCGACATGTTATACTTTGTCCCTTGATGATAATGATGCTGTTAATGCTCTTCTTGTTGATTTTGGTGATGTTATTTTGTTATTGTCGTTATTTTATCGTTGTTGTTGTTCTTCTTCTTTTTGATGTATTTGATTTTGTGGTGTTGCTAGTTGAGTTGCAGTTTCCTGGTGGTCCGCATGATAAGCCTAGTGCAAGTGGGACATGACCTCAACAAATGTTAACTTTAGAGCTCTAACACAGGTGGTGGAATACTACCGTCAAAGTAAGATTGGGGATAAGACCTGGTACAGTATGAAAGAGATGGGCACAGCAGAAAGGGCAGTATACGAGCTGCATGATGAGAAAATTAATATTTCCGTGCTCACCACAGCAGTTATTACGCTGCACGCTGAACATATTCACATGTGTCATCAGTGCATGTAGTACAATGTAGAACAGTGTTGCGACACAAAAATATTTTTGGGTCTTAATGCAATACATTGTAAGTTTTAACAAATCTTTATGAACTCTTTTACATGTGCTGTCCGTTTACTGGATTCCAGTTTCTGAGTGGTTCTTTGGGACTCATACAAATATCGAGCCACGTCAATGAAAGGCCTTCTGTTGGATTGTCACAGGGGTGTGCCCTCTCTTCCAGTAGCGTCGTGTTTTTCTAGTCCGTATTGTGCTATTGCGTATTATTTACAGCTCATCTAACCTTTAACTCACAAGCATTGTGTCCACCGTTCTTTCGTTGTTCCTTAATGCAACACCGAGGATCAATAGAAATGAAGAATGAGGGTGATGGTGGATTTGTTTTGTTTTTGTTAGTTTGTCGTTGCTGTTTTTTTGCAACCAACCCCCCCCCCAGAAACTTACATGTCTGACCAGCTGGTTTTCTTCTCTTCTTCCTTTTTTTCCATAGTTGCCATGTAAGATTTCCATTGGTTGTAAGGGACTCGGCATGGCTGTCTGACAGCCTCCTGTGTAGAGATGATGAGTAATGTGGTACACTTCATGGTTTTTATGGCTGTTTCGTGCTACATGCTTTAAGATGCGTCTTCTTATACGACACGGCGTCGGAGATGTTGCTGTCCAACTGAGAGAATGAAAACTTGTATGCACGCAGAAAAAGAGAAAGTGAGGACAATGATATTTTCCTTTAAGTCACAATAAAGCGTTTTTAATAAAACGTAAGAATTTCATTACCAACAAATAGTTTTAAAGTCTAGCTTTTGATCATATAGTGGAATTAAAATGGGGAGGACGAGGAGGGGGACGAGAGATTAGGTAGCATTTTTGAGGGGGGGGAGGAGGAGGAGAAGGAAGAGGAGGAGAGGAGGGGTGGAGGAAACGAGTGCAATGATACATGACTTTATATCATAACAATAGTTATAACCACCATCAATATTATTATCCTCATTCAAATAATATCCCCCTTTCCCTCATAACCTCGCGCCCACAATAGTGATGATAACGATGACAATGTCGATGTTACACAGTGCTTTTTTCTACAGAACCTCACCTGCGCCTGCTTTCGTATACCTTGACAACATTTATGGCACTCAAAGACTCCAGCCATGGTCAGCTTGGCTAGGTAGCGCAACAACATGAACGGATACGTAAGAACAGTCAACGGTATGGGTATCACAGATCTGTTAGGTGCCATGGATAGAGAAGTAGAGTAAATAAGATATTACTTTATAGTATAATGGTATGGTTGAATTAATCCACATTTAATAATAATAAT